ACTCAACTTAATTTGCCTGATATTTCGCTACCAGACCACTTAACATGAGGCTGGTGTCATCTCACAGCACAGTTTCGCGGAATTCTGGAGACGTTTTGAGGATTTTTTGTCAATTTTTTTTTACTTTTTTGACAATATTTTTTCAGAAAATTTTGGTCAGCAGGTTCGAGTCATAAACCAATCCAAAAATCTAGTCGAGTACCTCTTATCTATGTTCCGATATCACGGCTTAATATTCCGTTCACAAATATCCGAAAAATTTTTGGTATCGAGAAAAAAATGTCAATCAGTTCGTCTATGTGCCGACTGTAAGATTTTTCAGTTCAATGGAACTGTCCAAAAATTTTGGGTATTGAGAAAAATTACCGGGTGCTAGCTTGCCGGAAAAATTCAACCATATAAGACATCGTATAAAATTTATAGCGCAATATGAGAGTTTTAAATCAGTAGAGTCTTACAGTTTTAAGTGGAGATTGGAGTCACCGTTTAGCTGGTAGTCGACAAGAAACCCTCGAATCACCTCGTTTGGTTGCAGCGACAGACCATCTAGGACTCGTACACAACTTCGTGAAATCACTTATGGGGTCCGTATCCAATAGCTCTGCTGAGGGACTAGAGTGGGCCACGGACACTGCTTGAGAAGGGCTGTAGTGGGCCGACTGTCAAAGGTGCAGTAGTGAACCGAGAATACTGCTGGAGAGGGGCGTCCGATCGTCCAAGGTGCAGTAGTGGACCGAGAACACTGCTGGAGAGGGGCGTCCGATCGTCCGAGGTGCAGTAGTGGACCGAGATCACTGCTGGAGAATCCTGCCAGAAATTGAATTGCCCGAGAATGCTGATGCAGCTGTATAATACTGCCAGGAATGTAAAAGCCCGAGAATGCAGTTCCTGCTGTAGTTTATTGCCAGAAAACTAATTGCTTTTCAAGGATGCTTCAGATAACAGCCAGAAAACCATATTGCAGACGATAATTAAACCTCTTGTTTGTCCTTTTATTCCCCTGCTGCCAATCTCATAGCAATGAAAAAGGGGGGGGGGGGGGGGGGCAACGGGCAACTTTTTGAGGTAGGGGTGTTGCACTGGAGGGACACCAAAAAAACGGTCCCTTGTGGGGCGCCAAAATGTGCTCGCTAATCTCCAAAACTGATCCAAATTCGTTAAATTAATGAGAGATATTTCTCGGCAAATAACTCGGTCAATAAATTAATTTCGGCATTATTTCTATTGATCTGAACATCATATAACATTTTTATCATCTGTTCGTTTTTGGTACAAATCGGCGCAAGCTAGCCACAAGAACCGGTCGGTAATGTCCTTGAGACAAATTGCTCTTTTTGGCGGTCAGTCTTAATCAAGGCTGAACCGAACTAGAACCAAAAACAGTTAAAATAGGATATTACCCCCGTTTTTAGTATATTAATACATGGGCAGGTGGGGGACTCGAACCTACGTCAACTGTTATTTCACACATATAATCTGCGTTAGCTTACTTTGTCTTAGTCCGCTTGGCCAACTGTGCTTATGGTTGTTACATTTTGGTCCAATCATATTCAAGCTTGTGTTTGGTTTTATATGCATTTATATTCTACATTTACATTGCAACAATCACATTTTCTAAAAGTTGAAAGTATTTTACCTTTAAAACCAGTTGAACCCGTACCGTCGCACATGAAAAATTTACTATCTGAGTCATACATACATACATACATATATACAAATATACATAATTACATAAATACATACATACATACATACATACATACATACATAGATACATACATACATACATACATACATACATACATACATACACACATACATACATACATACATACATACAAACAAACATGCATGCATGCATGCATACATACATACATACATACATACATACATACATACATACATACATACATACATAGATACATACATCTAAACATACATACATACATACATACATACATACTTACATACATACATACATACATACATACATACATACATACATACATACATACATACATACATACATACATACATACATACATACATACATACATACATACATACATACATACATGCATACATATATAGATACAAACATACATACATACATACATACATACATACATACATACATACATACATACATACATACATACATACATACATACATACATACATACATACATACATACATACATACATACATACATACATACATACATACATACATACATACATACATACATACATACATACATACATACATACATACATACATACATACATACATACATACATACATACATACATACATACATACATACATACATACATACATACATACATACATACATACATACATACATACATACATACATACATACATACATACATGCATACATACATAGATACAAACATACATACATACATACATACATACATACATACATACATACATACATACATACATACATACATACATACATACATACATACTTACATACAATACATACATACATACATACATGCATACATACATAGATACAAACATACATGCATGCATACATGCATACATACATACATACTTACATACATACATAGATACATACATATAAACATACATACATACATACATACATACATACATACTTACATACATACATACATACATACATACATACATACATACATACATACATACATACATACATACATACATACATACATACATACATACATACATACATACATACATACATACATACATGCATACATACATACATACATACATACATACATACATAGATACATACATACGTACATACATACATACATACATACATACATACATACCTACATACATACATACATACATACATACATACATACATACATACATACATACATACATACTTACATACATACATACATACATACATACATACATACATACATACATACATACATACATACATACATACATACATACATACATACATACATACATACATACATACATACATACATACATACATATATACATACATGCATACATACAAACAAAAATACATACGTACATACATATATACATACATGCAATTACACATCCATCCATACATTCATATAGTTTATTTAATCAGAAGGCCTCAACAAATTGATGTGCTTGAGTCGCATTTTTTTTCTTTCGACGTTTTGTCGAAACTTTTTTTCGCTCGAGCTTCGTTCAAATATTTTTTTTGGGTCAAATCCCATCGAACATTTGATGCTTGGTCGAACTTGAGTCTGATCACAGTTTTTTCAATCGGGTTACTCGAATCGTGGATTGTTTTTGTCAAATGCTTTGATTCACAAGTGTTTTGGGTCGAATGGATCTGATCACTATCCGACCAGTTCAACCGGTGTGGTTAATTTTGAACAAATCTAGTGTATTCTGAAAGTTGGCGTATAAAAAATTAATTTCGGTTTGGTTGGATGTATGGGTAAGGGGGGATGTACGGTTGATCCCTTAATTTGTTTTTACAATTGGCGCTAAAAATTTCTGCTGCATTTGTTTTTACTTTTGTAATTTCTATTGAATTTAGAACAACCGAGGTGTTTGGTATCAATCAGAAACAATAATTTTGGTTTTTATGAAAATTAAACCAAGCGAAAAAATTCTTACATTTGTATTCAAAATAATTTATTTGTGAGAAACAGTTGTTTCGAGTTTTGCTCATTAAATGTTTGCTTGTATCAGTTGGTTTTATCTTCCAACTGATGTTCATACCTGCAAACGGACAAATATTCAAAAAAAATGCCCTGATTTTTCAGTTTCTTGGCCTTGGCTTCATATAGAAAAAAAAACGAGCTACAACAAAAGCTGCCACCTTTATCTCTTTCAAATTTTGAAATGTTAAAACCAAATTTTCTGATTTTCAAGCAGAAGCGGGTTTAGAGGGGCATGAAAAACGTCCACCCCCTCAGTGATTCGACTCCTTGTCGACCCAAAATTCCCCCTTTGTACTAATTTGAGATATCCAATATGGCTGACTGACATCAAAAAATTTCCCTATAGACGCCTTTTTTGGCCTGTTATTAGAAAATTTTATAACTTCCTGCAGTGCAGAAACTTTTGTCTAAATGAGGTCTTTATAAGGATATGGAAGAGATCAGAAAATAAATTTGAAAAAAAAACTAAAAAAAAAGGCCGACAGTTTTTGATTTTTTTTTGAAAGTCCGCCCCTTCAAGAAAATCCCGCTTCTGCTTTCAAACTTATTTGATATTTTGTTTTCTTTCGTTTTCTCAAATTTAGTTTTGTAAATTCCTGAATGGTCAAAACGGGTTTTCTTGAACTAATTTTGCGTTCCACATTTTCCTAACTTTTGCTCACATTTCTCATTGTTATCATTGCTATAAATGACAACAAGTGCAATTTTCTCATCTTTGTTTGACGCAGGAAAATGTCTCTGGAATTTGAAACAATAGCTAGTGTTTTGTATAAATAAAAGTCAAATTTTGTCAAAATCAAAATCGATCCTTGATACACAAAAAACATCTAGAGTTTCTTATCAAAATGAGAGTAGACTTGATTTCAATAATTTTCAGTCTTTCGTTTGCGGCTGCTGAATTGAACTTGATTCAAAAATGGAAGGATTGGAAAACCACTCATGATAAAGTGTACGAAAGTTACATTGAAGCTGCAAGAAGATTCAAGATTTGGAGTTCCAATTTTGCCGAGGTTAGTTTCTGCTCCTTACAACTAGAATTTAAGCTCTGAAGACTCATTATTTCATAAGTATGATTAATATTTGACATTTCATTATATAGAAACCACCGTTGGAAACAAGAAATTCAGCTAAACTTTGCCATTTGACTATACAAACTGAAAAACTAGTTTTCATAGTTTTTTCCAAGTTTTTTCTTCCAATGATTTGATGAAATGCAACATCTAATATAGTGTTCTATTTAGATTCAGTTACATAATCAAAAACATGACAGCGGACTCGAAACTACCAGAATGGGATTGAACCAATTCTCAGACATGAGCGATGAAGAGTTCACTTCTAAAATGGGCGGATGTTTCAAACCTGGAGGTCTTTCTTCAGTTCCAGAAAATGTCCAGCTGTTCCAGAGAACGTCGGAGCCAGTGGCCGATTCGAAGGATTGGAGGGATGACAATGTGGTGACAGGTGTGAAAAATCAAGGACAATGTGGCAGCTGCTGGGCCTTCGGAGCAATCGGCGCAGTTGAGAGTCATCTGGCCATCAAAAAGAGCGGGAAAAGTCCAGCTTCAAATTATGGTAAATGTTGAAAGTTTAAACCTATTAGTCGTTAAAAAAACAGCTTCGATAATGAAAAAGACCAAATTACAGACCGATATTCCAATATCATAAAAAAAAATCAGTGCCTCATTTTAAAAAGCAGAGCCAGTTGGTGTGCAAGTAGCACAGATTTTTCCAATCACATTGGTTTCAAAAAAACTTAGTCACAAAGAAAAATTTAGATTATAAAGAAAAAAGATTTAAGAATGTTTCATAAGTCGTTTAATTTTTTTCTTACTTTCCTGTTATTTTAATTGAAGAAAAGTTATACAAAAATCTCCAAACAATGAAAGGCAAAAATAACCAACCTAACGTTACAAGTTCAGAAGTGATATAACACGCTTAAATGGTGGTGGAGAGGTCCTTTTTTCATCAATTTTCCTTATTTAGTCTGAAAACCGAAAACATTTAGACCAGTTTTTTCGACACAGAGGAAACATTTTTGAAAGTATTTGTAATATATATCACGGCAAAAAAGACTTTGTTAAAACTCAAGACTTGACACTTATGAAATTTCCACCAAATTTTTCGGATGTTAAAATTATTTTTTTGGTTAAAATATACGTAAGAACTTATCTTTTTTTTTTCGAGCTTGTTTTTGTTACAGAAGTGTAAAACATTCTTCTGGTAGCGAAGCCAAGTTTTTTTTGAAGTAAAAAAGTAAATTTAAAATTTTTTTCTAATTGCAGCAGACAACGAGTCTTTGCCAGTGTCCTTGAGTGAACAACAACTGGTGGACTGCAATGGTGCCGCGGGTAATAACGGATGCGGAGGGGGATTTCATTGGGCCGCTTTCCAGTACATAATCTCAGAGGGTTCTCTGCCTGAAGAGAACTACCCGTACATATCTGGAGTAGACGGCGCCGAGCGCAACTGCCGCAACTTCAACAACCAGTCTGTGGAAACTAAACTTAGTAGCTATGCTTGGGTGCCGGCAGGGCAAGAAGACTTGCTTAAAGAGGCGGTGTTCGTGCATGGACCTGTAGCGGTCGCAATAGCCATACCTACCAATCCCCTGTCATTCAAGAATTACTATCGGGGGATTACTTCATGCCCTGGTGATGCTGAACTGAACCATGCAGTGCTTGTGGTCGGCTATGGAACGGAAGCTACCGGGGAGGACTATTGGCTGATCAAAAACAGCTATGGAGAAACTTGGGGAGACGAAGGATATTTTAAACTGAGGAGAAACGCAGGAAATCAGTGTGGAATTGCTAATTTCGCTTTCTACCCCATAATCTGACCAACAAAACTAATATTGAACACTCATCAAAATTAAGACTCACTCAATAAATAGCTGCTTTTTAATAAAAAAGACATATTGACTTGAAACTGTGCGTCAGATTAGTGCAACTATAAATACAATATTTATACTTCTTTCGAATGACGTTTTGAAAAATAACATCTCTTTTTTTTAGCATAACAGTCATCTTGAAGTTTTTTATTTTTGGTAAACTGATACTTACTCTGATACAAAAAAAAACCGTTAAGCATCAAACAGATTGATAATTTTTGAACGGGCAGTTAGATAACACTCCATAAGTTTTATGAGCAGAACCAGAAAAGGACTAATAATTACATCGTTGTCGCAACGTTTTCTTTTTTTGTTTTCCGACTTTTGTAGCGGAAGTAAAGGAATATTTGTGTTCGGGGTGGGTTCTTTTTTCTTCAGACAAATTTCGACTTTTTAACTAGCCATTTTTGACGGGATTTTTTTTATATATCATTCGAAAGGTATTGTTGTCTTGAGCTCAAATTTGAAAAGATATTTCACCCGTGATTATTTTTCGTAAAGTTACAGGGTTTTAAAGATTGCCATTTTGGCCAATTTGGGACAATTAACGCGCGATATATTTCGCACTATTAACGCGTAAGCGGAGAGTTAATCCGTCTTGGAAATTGTTCCAAACTGGTTGAAAGAAGCTTATTTGCCATAATTGATTTCTTACTACGAGCGAAATCTATCACTTTGTACTTTATATGGCGCGTGGGCGATGAATTTTGCAAAAATCTTAAATAAAAAAAAGCTATTTTTACGTTTAATTTTTCATTTTAAATTATTTTTTTTACTTAATTTTTCACGGTATTACTGCTCCATAGACCTTAAAAGGCAGTCAGAACATTCAGGGCTTCGCCATGATTTGAGCAATTTTGTTTGAAGATTAGGGATTGATTTTTTGAGGATAAGAACTCTTTTGAAAAGAATTTGCTCATTTTTTGTCTTCTCATCGAGTTTTGGAATATCTTTTTTTCATTGTTTAAACTAAGCAAACTGGTGCAATTTTTAATAAAATTTTTAGAAATTATTTCATTTCGTTATAATCTTGTACTACGCTTGTAAATATGAGCAATTTCAGTTTTATGATTTGTTTGTCGATAGTTATAACATTTTTAATTTTAGGAGTGGTAGATCTGAAATCAATTTATCAAAATCGAGCTGAAGATTTTGAAAAATCTCTCAAAATATCTAGCCTTCATTATTCAGAAACCAAAAGTTCGCCAAATTTAATTACTCAAATTGAAAAGCCAGCCATTTCTTCATGCGATGGCGCTCCAATATCTCAAAAAATTCACATTCTTGGCATAAATTTGACACACGCTGCCGCAGATTATCTAAGATCCGACTTTTTGAAGCTCTCTAATTGGATTGAACTAACAGAAATTACAATCGGTAGCGATGATCCGAATTATAATGTAAACCCAATTATTTACGCTGCTATGCAATTCAACGAGAGCTGTCCTCGGCATGAATTATATGGTGTTATAGTCGGTAACACTTATTTCAACCCGAGAACTCTGAACACAATGTCGTCAGCTATGAACGAATCTTCGTTTCTAATCATTGATGAGAATCGCCTAGACCCGAAAAAGGATAAACTTCCAGTTTACGCTGCGTTCATGAATCAAGAGGCAATGCTTAAACTTGCCCAGGGTGCAACTTTGTTCACGGATATTTCACAGCAAATGGGCTATGGAATGCAATTTGTTCACTTTATTGCGTCACAAAACGAGACTGTGGTTTCAATTTACGAGACGAAAGATATCCGAGAAGCTCATCCGCCGACTAGGCAACCTTGCGATTTAACTTCGCTGATCGCAATACGCGACTTGGACCAGAAGTTTTCACACACCCAGACTTTCCTTATATGGGTGAATTCGCCGTATAACTGCAGAAATAAACTGGCTCAAGATTTTTTTCGACCACTCAGAAAAGCTTCAAAATTTGACTGCCATTGTAGTTAGACAGATTTCAATTTTATGACTAAAAACATTCAAATGCTGACCGACCAACTAGCAAATGATGTTTCGACAACAACCATAACTACAACTAATTTTGCGTTTTGTATGTTTCTGAAGCAAGGCGTAGTGGTTGGGGTATAACTGGGATAGTGGGTAACTTAAGTGCTCAAGATATAAGGGGGGGGGGGGGAGTCGGAGGAGGTTCTGAAAAAGAAACAAAATGTGCTTTTCATCGGAATAATCAAAGTTTGACCTTCATAGTTTTAAAAAATTCAAAAAAAACTTCAGGAAAAACTATGAGAGACTAAACATGAGAGGAAAAACTAAACAGCAGTTTTATTCAGTTTTTTTTGTAAAACAAACAAACCTTAGACCAATTTTAAGATATAAAATTGGCATTTGGAGGCCTATACTTCTTTGAAAATAAAGATGCGAAGCTTTTCCATTTCAAATGAAATACTGCACGTTATGAGCAAAAACTTTTTTTTAACATAGCTGACAAATGCAAACATTTGAGCCTCATTTTGAGTCTAAACACAGAAAATACAGTTGAAAATCAATTAAAATTCTTAAGTAAAAGTTGAGTAGTCGCAGAAAAACTTTGAAGTATAGTAGAAATTATTTTTTTAAAGTGTAGTAGAAATTATTTTTGAAAACAAAAAAGTCCCATAAAACTTATAGATCTGCATGACTCTTAAAAAAAAAGTTTTCCATGAACTGATTCCAACTTTACCATATCCCATTTACAATCCCATTTACAATATTGCAATCACAAGCACAAGCTGAATACTATTTCTAAAAATTAATTATAATCAGTCAGATTGCAAAAAGATTTGATGCCGCAAAAACATTAGCATTTAATTCAAAATTAGATCTAAGAGGGGGGGGGGGGGGGGGGCTTCATTAAAAAAGTTGATCCCTCGCCAACCAAATGGTTTCCTTTTGGTACTGCTTCAGGATACGTTTTTTTCTGGCTGACTGGGTCAAGTAATCTTAAAAAAGCTAATGTATATACACACTAAAATACCAAAGTATATAAAATTGGCAATTAGAAGATTGAAAAACAAACATTGAAATCGAATGAAATGAAACATATAGTGTAGAACTGGTGATTCTACTGTATTACATGCTATAATAAACTGAGAGTAAGATTGATTCGTCATTAAGTTAAGCAGTAGAGCAAACAAAGGGTAAAATTCGATATAGTTCAATCTTCGAAGATATCGTCCCTCCTATTCCAGAATATAAAATTTGACAAATCGGCGAACTCCCCCCCTCCCCCCCCCCAAATCGGAACTAAGAAATCTAATGTTATGAAATTCAGAGGAGCGATACTAGAGATGATTTGACCAGGGCATACAAAAATCGGGACCCGTCAGACCCTCGGGTGCAAGTGATAACGGTCCCCGGAAGTGTAAATGGCCCTATCAGAACTCGGAAACTAGCGGCGGTTTCGGGCTCAAATTCTAGTATGTTGTAGGCCTAGTTGATGGACGCTTAACTTTAGAACCCCAGACCCCTAAGACCCCCACTTCCGGTTTTATGCCTTAAGTAAATAAACCCACCCCTAACTTCCGGAAGTCGTTTCTCGGCCTCCAATGATTGCAGGGAGCTGAAACTTGGAGTGATGATAGGTAGTGGCAAGATAAATCTTGAATTAAAATTTGAAACAAATCCGGCGGTTGCACCGGAAGCTATTAGCACTTGGAAAAACACCCCCTTAGACCGGAATTAGGCAATTTACGCAAAATATTGAGCCAGGGCATACCGATTTTATTGGGGCAATGGACATAAAATACGGACCCTGAAAAAAAAGACCCATAGCGAGTGAAAACGCTCCAGTGACTCCATCCGGTGTTAATAGCCTTTTCCCGGAAAAAGTGATAATGGACCTTAGAAATGGGATGACTTGTGAAGTATTGATGGGATATGAATGAAACTTGGTAGTTAGGACCCCCATGGGATTCCGAACCCAAATATGGAAATTTGACTCCGGTTGACCCCTGGGTGACCTTAAATTGATCTATGGGCTTTTTGACCCCAAAATTGCATAGAAAACCCCGAGATTAACACCGGAATGTAGCGTATTTACCAACCCCTGGAAATGAGAATGGGTCATCTTGCTAAAAATTGAGATAAAACTTATTTATTGGGAACTAGAGCAGAAGCTGATAGAGATATAGCTGTTACATTGCAACCTTGGAGTAGAGGATTTAATTCAAAGTGGACTTGGTAAACATTGGGTTCAGTTTAGCTTGACTGGCGAGTAATCTATTATAAGCAATTCAACTAGACTAAAGAAAAGTAGTCCCAGAGGAAATTGATAGTAATGAGACCGCGGTATGAGAGTTAAGTCTTCTAAAAAGTATGAACGAACGTGGAAATTACTTGGCTTCCCGGTGGTGACTTTCCTGTTTGATTTGACCCCTAATAGACGAACTACGTTCCCCTGATAGCTAGAAGGTCGGGATTGGAATACAGTACAGGTCAAAATTTTAGATGCTTGGAATGAATTAGCTACCCAAGGAAAGGGCCTCCCCCTACCCTTGGGAGGTCGGAACGTTACTGGGATAATTAGAATAAAGACCTTGGGAGGATCACTGGGTAAACATAGCATGGTTTAGAGGAGTTGAACTCGAAAGCTGAATTTCACTGAGTTCAGGAATTGGTTGATTAGAATCGTATGAAATTTGTTTGCTTGGTCAATTTGTGACAGCTACCGCATACCGGGTATCTAATAAGTGTGAAAAGATTCATAAAAGAAACCGAAGTTGGCACGTGGCAGAGTTGACAAGAGGAGGGATATAGTCTTAAACATGCGCGGACGGGTGATTTAGGCGGATGTCAGGACTGATAGGGAATGGCGTGACTTACCTAAAACTAAGTGTACGGAAAGATAAGGAATTGGAGGGTACCGTTGAGCCTGTAAGAGTCAGAACAGTTGGTAACTACTATTAAGGGTAGTTGGTTCTCGTCAGTGAAGAGAACAGTGTAAGCTACGATTGAGAGTAGTTGGTTCTCAGTCAGAGAAGAGAGCGATTGATACTGAGAGAGAGTATAGTTGGTTCTCCGTTAGTTAGAGAGAACAATTATTGCTAGTTAGTCAGGTAATTGGTTTTCGGAGTAAGAGACCAGTAGATAGTTAGTTCTCATCAGAGATTCTCTAGAGAGAGAGAGAGAATAGTTGGTGTTAGTGGAGTTAGTTGGAAGTTAATTGCAATTAGGCAATTTGGCCGATAAATCTCGGACCCGTTCCTTTTGACTTGATTGTTAGATTATATCCTGGCCACTCAGAGCCTTCTGTAATTGGACATATAATCATCCAAATTAATTAATCATTGGAAATTGTTGCGATTGTATCGAGTAGACGAGACAAGACAGCCGAAGAGCAATACACAGAGGGGCAAGCAACATAATACAATACAGAATACCTGCCACCAAAATAACCCTTTCGGGATTGTAGATAGTAGTGAATCTCGGTCGCCCCACTGAATTCACTGCCCAAGGGACGACTTTGCGGTGCCGTTAGGAAAGAGAGAACGAGCCTAGAGCAGAAATCCCCTAAATCTACATATAGCGATATAAAAAGTAGTTTCGCAGTCCAGAACCCTCCCCTCAGGAAATCGTTTGACCCTTTCACCCTTATTTATGGTGCGAATTGATCCTAATTATAAATCAATGTATTATTCCATTACATAACTTTGAGCTATTTATTTGATTCGCATCATTCGTTTTCATGATTTTTTTAAAATCAGGCGTAGCCTATGACGTGTGCGGACATTTGTTTTTAATGTCTTGGCGATTTAAAGAATAGCTTCGAGTTTGCGCGGCTCGCTAAATCAGAAGAATGTAAAAAGAAACTGAAAGTTCAAAATAGCCCCACTAGAAAATTATCCCATCATTTAGCTTACAACAAAAAAAGCAAATTGATAAGAAAAATGCTCACTGACTTTAAGAAATGAAAAATCGCAGCTTAGTAACAATGTTCAAAAATGCCAGTAATTTCATATGGCCGGTCCAGATAACCATTGCATGAAGTTGCTGCTACTAAGAACGGATTTCTTGATAAAGTGCATGCACTCGAGCTATAGAAAACTTTCCCGACACGTGCCGTTTTGTTAAGTTTTGCTCTTAACAAAGCATCAGTTTTAATACTTGAATGCTGTGTTGCTCTCATTAATATTGTACAGAAAAAATTGGACTACTGAAGTCCGGTTAACAAGAAAAATTAGTGCATTTTTTCTAGCGTATTGGCTGTTTTTCAGTTCCTCGATTTTGATTAAAAAACACTGGAAAAAAAAATTTTTGGCTTTACTTGTTCACTTGACAGATAAAATTTAATTTATTAATTGTCTTTTTCACTTAAGCTTCAGTATATTGCTTCTTAGTTTAGTCAGCATTTGCTGGAAATTAAACTCCAGGAAATTAAACATTATATCTTAAAAACTGCTCGTAAGAGGGTGAGCATCCAAATATTCTGATTCATTGAACCGAGGCCAAGTAAATTCTCTCAAAGTGTCGGAGGTAAGTTTTGCTGGAAGAATATTTTTCAAAATAAAAGAACAAGTTTATGGTATAAAAACTTCCCCTATTAAACATAAAAAAAAACGATACAATTTGAAAAACCTGCCAAATTATGCCAACAAATGAACGTGCCTCAACTCAGAGGAAATACACTTGAGCCTGATTATACGCCGCATTCGCCACGCGTTAAGAAAAAAATTTTGCGCCCACATTTGCCCAGAAATCGACATATTGGCAAATTTTGAGGCTATCATAAATTGGCTATCATTTTACAAAATTTACAAAAAAAAAGAAACGATAAAACTTTTAAAAATATAATTTGCCTGATGAATATAATTTTTACCGATGTGTGTGAGAAAGGGCGATCTAGGATTTTTTCAATGGGAGGGGGCGAATTTTCATTAAAAATAGTTAGAGGGATCAAATTTATTTTCCGAGCCCTTTCAAATCACTATAAAGACCCTATTTTGACCAAATGATTTTGCCCCGCAGACAATTTGTTGGAAAAACAGGTCGAAAAACGTGTTTTAGGCGTTATTGGAAAATTTGGACAAAAAAATACGTTTTTTTTTGCGCGCGCGTTTCCCCTTAATTTAGTATAAATTGGCTTCCAAGGTGCCCTTAGATATCACTGAGGTGGTAGAATCTCTTGGGGTGGGGGCATCCGCCCTCATCTCTCCTTCCCATATCCGATACTTTGTGTGTGTTTGCATTATTTTTGCGTGTGGATTGTGTACTTGTGTGTTTGTGCATGTATTTGTGGGTGCAATTCTGTTGTGTGTGGGTGCATGTCTGCTCTGTTCTAGTCTTTCTGCTATCTAGTTCTAGGAAAAAAGGAACAAATTTAAATGCTAGACCAGTTTTTTTATTACCACCAGAATTGATAACCGGAAAAAATAACTGCGACAGCGGAAGATTTAGACGTTTTGTTTTACTCATTAGTTTCGTCTTATCAAGCTTATCTTCGTAAGTTTGATCAATATAATCTTGAACCGTTTGTTCTTCTTAAACTAAATTTCAGATCTGAATGATTTAAATGGACAAGCAAACATCCAAATCTTGCCTTCCTCGGGCTCATCGTGTTTTCTTTTGTGGAGCTCTTGTTGGCATAGTATTAGTGGTTCTAATCATTGCAGGAACTGTGATACTAATCAGCTTCAAAGATGAGTTTGCAGACAACGTTACCGATGTATGTACCTTTTTGCGTCATTTGATAACCTCATTCAATTAAGTAAGAACCAAAGAAGACGCAGGCTACAATTTGTACTATGAGCAGGTGTAATTGGGTCGAAGTCACAATTTAAGGTTTTTTTGATTTTTTTAAATGTGAGCTCAAGACGTCTCAATATTTTTTCTCAAGGTTTTTCAGATGGCAAAAAAATTGCCAAAACGGTTTAGAAGTAAATAATTGACTAAATGAAAAAACCACCCTATGCATAAAACTTAAAAACTTAAATTCCTATGCATAAAACAACATATTTTTTCAAAAGATACAACAAGGTTGCTTGTAACAGACAGACGCTTGAACAATTTGACTGCGTTTTTGAATATCTAAAGTACCTTTAGTCAAAAAATGGTAGCATTTTTTTGCGTTTTTACTTTAACACAAAATTTCTCCCACACGCAATTTAAAATTCAAACGTTTCGAAGTGGTACAAGCAGTAACAAGTAGTAACCATTTTTTGAATCAATTAACATGCCTTGTTCTTATGTGAAATGATTTCTCAGACTAATTTTTCGGCCGCTTAAGCAACGCCCTGAAAACATGGCATATAACGAGCGTTAGTTATCTCAGAGAAGCCAAGTTGGCATTTTTTTAACCCCAAAACTTTCTACAAGTAATCAGAGGAACCAATTTTCTTAAGTATTTAGGTCTAATCATGACTATCGTTCAGAATGCTTAGAATTTGTTTATCAGACAATTTCATTCAATGGCATTATTTGTCTGAGGTGTGCTAATTTGACGCCAAGTTCTATCAGTTTGTATTTGATTTTGGCTGTGGCTTCTGAGATTGACAATCTAAAATCAACAACAATTGAAAAATTTACTCTAATAGTTTCATGAATTTCAAAATCTTTTTGCGGCAAAAGCTGTTGAAGTAGTTAAAAAAACTTTTGAGATGAAGCGCTGATATGATTCAAATTACCCAAGTTTTTTTTGGTTTTAACTGTATGAACCCAGACTTTGGTCTTATCTATAGCCTTTTTCCTACGGTTTGCACGGTTTTGCCTTCTCGGTCTAAAATGATTAGCACGCCTTTTATCCAAGGGTACAAGATAATTGAAAGCCCCAATAATCAATTTTTGAATATATTCTTAAACTATTTATATTTTCCATTTCAAGATCTAGTTTCAATTTCAAATTTCAAAAAGTTCAATTTCAATTGTCAAAAATGTCTTCGTTTTCTTAAAT